GGGGGGGGGGGCGGAGGGAGTTTAGTTGAAAGGAAGGGCCCGTAAAAGCCGAAAATGCCGAACGGTGGACGAGCACTATGAGGACTTTATCCAGTCCGTCTGTTTTACACAATGGCCAGCTTCATCACAGTATTTGCGGGAGCTGTCCCCCCGTAGACCATTCCCGCCCACGTATTCTGGTTGTTAGCGAGGGTGTTGTAGCGACAGAATCTAGCTCTGTGTTGATGTACCAGGTACAGTCGAGCATGCGCATGCAGCAAAAAGTGAGTCGCCCATGTGGACAGTATTTCGCCCTTGCACGTGACCCCCGTCACTGTCATGCTTCAGTTTTGTATAGATAATCCTTCATTAACAGCATATTAGCGTGAGATGGACCAAATCAAATCAAAGAGCACCGGCTGTGGATTGTCAACGACTCTATGTTGTAGTAAATCAAATGAGTTCTCGGTTGGAAAATGACAATATCCCGCGAGCTATCGTACTTAATCACAATTATGGCACCGTTTTGGACATGTTTTCCCACCATGTTTTTGTGCCTCGGTAATTAGACACGTAATTTGTTTTTAGCAGCTAGACCGTGTAGTTTGTTGGTTAGGTCCGTGGATGCCCAGATTCGTGATGGGCCGGATGGAACAGCTGCCATCTCACTGTTTTCGTCACGTCTCGACGTGCAAAAAGTTGCGTGAGGGCCCACCACACATCAATTCTATCCGGGGGGACTAGTCATCTCACGCAATTTCTGCCTCTGCCGCCGAGTTCATCTTCTCCAACCATCCTCCTCCCACCCACTCACGCACCAGAGAGGCAAAAACTTTTCCAAGAGGGTGCTTGGATACAAGAGACTATTTTTAGTCTGACTAAAAATAGTCTCTTTTAGAGGCTAAAGTTCCAATCACCCCTGATTAAAGAGAGGCTAGGACTAGTCTTGAGGCTAAAAATTTTTAGTCATGGAAAACATACTAAAATATGTATTAGCTCTCTCTCTCCTCATTTAATTCCTCTCCTTAGTTCTGGATTGGAGGATTTGGAGGATAATAAATGCTCAATAACTAGATTTTAGTCTCTTTAGTACTTGGATCCAAGCATGGGTGAGACTAGCAAGTTTTAGTCCCACTACTTTTAGTCATGGGACTAAAATGTATCAAGCATGCTCTAGTACTGCTACCAAGCATGGGTGGGACTAAAACGAGTAATAATAACTGAATTCGACGGCTATCCATTTTGAGCCACCGCACTCTCCGCCGGTGTGCCTGCGTATAAGTAGTGCTGCTACCAGCTAGCTAGGGGGATACACTGCGGCTCGTCACTCTCAGACCTTGCTCCGTCCGTGGTACTTGTCCAAGTGCTCCTCTGGCCAGCCATCTTCTCCGGCCTCCAGTCTCAATGGCGGATCAGAGCCTCGCAGCCCCTATCCGTTGCAAAGGTAGTAATTCTGAGACTCCTCATGCATGCTCCAGCTGCCATCTTTTTCTTTACTTCAAGCAAGGAAGAGCTTATCCGTGTTGCAAACAGCGGCGGTGAGCAGAGCCAAGGGCGCACCTCTCGTCATCGAGGACATCGTCGTGGATCCACCCAAGGCGTACGAGATCCGCATGAAGGTCCTCTGCACCTCCCTCTGCCACACCGACATCACCTTCTGGCGCGGCAAGGTACCTCCTACACGCTCACGTCCAAAGATTCAGTTAGAAGCAGTGCACACTTGCTAACTCAGACACGTACTTCCGATCTGGCAGGAGGACTTCCCGCTCCCGCCCGTGTTCCCAAGGATCTTAGGCCACGAGGCGTACGGGTAAGCTCCTCAGATCCTGGTGCTGAAGGCGGCCGGGGACGACGACGTTGAACGTGTTATAAGATTGGACGGTGCTGCGTTGCGTTGCAGGGTGGTGGAGAGCGTGGGGGAGCGCGTGGAGGGGTTCGCGGCGGGGGACACGGTGGTGCCGACGTTCCTGGGGCAGTGCGACTCGTGCGGCGGCTGCGCGTCGGCGGGGAGCAACATGTGCTCCGCGCTGCCGTTCGTCGTCGGCCCCGGGATGCGCCGCGACGGCACCACCCGCTTCAGGGACAGCCAGGGGGAGCCGCTGCACGACTTCCTCGCCGTCTCCAGCTTCAGCCAGTACACCGTCGTCGACGTCAACCAGGTCGTCAAGGTCGACCCCGCCGTGCCGCCCAAGCTCGCCTGCCTCCTCGGCTGCGGCGCCGGCACCGGTGAGCCCGCCTCACAGAGAATATCTAGCTAGCACTGTAAGATTGATGGAGTAAAGAAGATGAACTCTCACGTTGCATTGCCGATGCAGGGGTCGGGGCTGCGTGGAGGTTGGCCAAGGTGCAGCCTGGATCGTCGGTGGTCATCTTCGGGCTCGGAGCGGTGGGATTGTCGGTAAGCTGGTGCCGTGACGCAGGCTGCTGCTTCTTTTTCTTCGTCGTCTTCTGATAAATATAAGCGGTTAGTAGATTTCAGTTGGTTGGTGCTGAAACCTGATGTAAACAACTTTTGGGTGGCAAGGTGGCACAAGGCGCAAAGATGTGCGGAGCAGCCAAGATCATCGGTGTTGATTTGAACCCTGACAAAGAAGAACTCGGCAAGTCGTCTTTTTTTCCTCCAGAGGAACGGAACACCGATTCAAAACACATTTGGTTGATTTCAAAATGGTATCTGCTCCTGTTGCAGGGAAAAAATTCGGCGTGACAGATTTCGTGAACCCGTCAAAACTCGGCGAGAGCCCACTCAGCCAGGTAAGAATTTGGTACTACGAGGGCAGTACAAAACGGAACAATGGTAGTACTACCAATACACATCTGAGCTCAACGGATGCTTGTTTCAGTCGTTCTCATTTCGCTTCTTGACAAAGTTCAGGTGATCATCGAGATGACCGGCGGCGGAGCCGACTACTGCTTCGAGTGCATCGGCGCCGCGTCCGTCATGACCGAGGCGTTCAGAAGCGCTAAGCAGGGGAATGGCAAGACGGTGATCCTGGGGTTGGAGAAGGACGGGAAGCCGATCAGCCTGCCGTCCATCGAGTTCCTCTTCGGCAAGTGCGTCATGGGGTCGCTCTTCGGGGGGATGAAGCCCAAGACCGACATCCCGATCCTCGCCGAGAAATGCATGAACAAGGTCATATGATATGATATCTCGTGGGTCTGAGCTGATGCCCATTGTTTCCACGAGTTTGGGAGCTGAAAAATGTGTTTTGCGTGGGTGGATGCAGGAGCTGGAGCTGGAGAAGCTGATCACGCACGAAGTGGGCCTGCAGGAGATCAACACGGCCTTCGACCTGCTCCTGCAGGGGAAGAGCCTCAGGTGCATCATCTGGATGGACAAGCTGGAGGTGTGAAGAAACATGGGTGAAAATGTTGGTCCAGGGCTGGCTGATGGAGAATAAAACTGTTGCTTGTTTCCTAAATAAAATTGCTGCTTGTGTTTATTCACCGAGTAATGCTACATCTACGTAATGACTATTACGTCATCAACTTGGGGAGTTTTGATTGGAGATTGGGGGAGGCTAGGGCCCACACCCCTGAAAATGGGGGGGGGGGGGATTCTATGAGACCAGGTCTCACACGAGACCCATTCTGATGGATGGCACGTGGCATTCACAAATCACAAAGCATCCCCCATCCTCCACTGAAAATCGGAAGGGGGGAGGGAAGATTAGATGCTTTGTGATTTGTGAATGACACGTGTCATCTATCAGGACGGGTCTCATCTGCTAACCGTAAGACCTGGTCTCATATAATTTTTTTTCCGGAGGGAAGGGTTTAATTAGGTAGTTTACGTAAAACTGTTCGTAGACGTACCTAGGTCTAGCATTATTGTTATTCACCGGTGCTGCTAGAACATCAAAGCTTACGATGGCTATTGTGACCGGACGCTGTGCCATCGTGGCATCCTGTTCTTTCAAAACCTGCCATCATGAATAATCGTGTGCTTGTCTGGGCATGGGTGCCATTGTTTGGTTGCCAAGAGGAAGATTTAAGCGGGGAAACACCAATGCCGGGGTCTCTCTCTGTTTTTATCTTTGTAAATTTGGCATCTCTGTCCTAGGCGTCCTTTTGATTTACAAGAATTTTATAGAGATTCTAGAGGATAGGGATTTTGTAGGAGAAATTCCTATGTGGCTCTTTGATTTGTAGGAATATATTCATATTCCTATTCCTATGTAGTATATTAACGAAACTACTGCGAAAAAAACATAATAACAAACCCTTCAATTTCAAAGGGAAAAAACATTAGCCTAAGCCCAGTGAAAAAGTTCTTATCATATTAATCAGATGGCATATATTCCCTTTAGTAATGGCATCTGATGAGATTTGTCTCATAATAATTGAACATAATACAATTTGATTGTCTATCAGAAGTGCAATGTAGCAAAAAACAAAGAGATTTGATGCTAATTTGTGAGCCCCACGGTGTTAGTGCGCCTAAATAGAAATTAGCTTGCATTGTACACCTTGATCCATTTTACGACGAAGAAAAATCAAACCCATTACGAGTCGCGCAAGGGGCGATCCCTGGCGATGGACACATCATCACAGGCACACTATTCGGGGCAGCCAATCGGGATCAAACTTTGCGCTGGCCAATCGCGTTCGTCGGAGCAGGTTCTTCTCTTCTTCACGCGACCTGATAATCCTTGGGCTGGGCATACGAGTTTCACTGAAAACTAAGGTTAAGCCCAACTCTACACAAACACCTTGAAGCATGAAACCTGCATTGAGGCCTGACAAAACCACTAACAGAATTTTTTGATTGGTTATCTATAATAGGAACCCACACTTTTCAAAGCGAAAGCACAAATGTAGAGACGTCTGGCAGAAACACATTCGTACATTTTAGAATCTGTACATTTTAGAATCTGTACACATTTTAGACGTCTGGCTGAAAATGTTGGAGTAAAAAGTAGAGATGCATGTGTACTAGAGTCTTTATTTTTTATTTTTTTTTAATGATGCCCACTAATGATAGCTTACATTGGGGAGAAAAAAATAAACGTGCCTTAAATTATTTTTTGTCATGGGCATATGTATTAATATGCCATCATTGTACATGCTGTGAGGCGGAGCGCAACCGGCTCTTCGAGGGGCTCGTGGCGGAGGATGATGGCGCGTGAGAGCAGCACGATAATGATGCTCTTCGCGTCACTTTGCTAGTTGTTCGCGTCAAAGAGGTATCCGTCGTCACTTCGTCTCGTTCACGCCGGCCGCCAAGGGCGACGAGGATGAACTGTTCCATGCCTGTCGCCTCACCTCAGACAGGGAGAGATAGCATATGATTTAGTTATTTTTTAGGTACTTTTGTTATGCAAAAGTTATTTCAAAAACTCAATAAAAATCGGTCCACTTTTATTTGGGGACTCTTGGATGGCCGGCGCCCCGCTCCCCATCTGCGAACATTTGTGTTGTCCGTTTGGTGATCCGCGTTGACGTTGCCCTTAGGGTTGCAATTTGGTTGTGAAAGTACACTACATGTCAAAGCCTCAAATTTTGGCAAATTCTCTAAAATATATTATCATCATTCGTAAAACTTAGGCAACTTTTAACACTTTTAGAAGATCTTTAATTCTACTTCCTCCGTTCCGGTTTAGAGTGCCGGCCTAGAGAGATGGTGAGTGGTAAAATAATTTGCGCACTTTGCCAAAGTAATTAATTAGTGCACTCATTTTTCTAAAAAAATATTTACCAATGCGTTCCTTGCGACTCATGCATGCCTTACCACTAATGACTAAGAATTTTTTAAATACTCCCTCCATTGCGGAGTACATTGGTTAGTTTTCTTTTAATCATTGATGCAGCGATTTAATGCACCTCAAGGTCTAAACAAATAATGACGTGCAAAATAAATATGGTCATACAAAAATAAAATAAAATTGAGAACGCCCCTAAACCGGAAGGGGGAGAGTAAGCTTTCATAGATTTCATCGCAGTCACGAGACATGCCCGGAACAGCGACGCGGTAGATCAGACAGGCCGCCACCAGGAACCAGATAAGGTCGCCATGCACACCCAGCATCCCCATGCCCAAGTCGACGCCTTCAAGAAGGTGATGACGTTGTGGCGCCGCCGCCGCTTAGCCACCGGGGCTAGGGTTTTCACCCGGGCACAGGGGAAGGGGAGAGGCAGGGGAGGTTTAGCCTCGGCGCCGCCACCAAAGAGGGAATGGCGTCCGGGACGCCATCGACGCCGTGACCGCCACCGGCGGCCAAGGGTTTCCCCCGGCCAAGCACCCTGCTACCACCTTCGAACCAGACACAACATCAGCAGGCGCGTGCACGCCGGAGATCCAGGCTGGCCGGAGGTCATGCAACACGAGTGGACCAGATCGCCTCCGATCTGACGAGGGAAGCCCGGGGCCTCCCCGCGCCATGACCAGCACCCACCGGGACCTCGCTGCCCGCGCAGCCGAGGAGATCCGGTCTATCTCACCGACGAGCACTCCCTG